CCCCAAAACCCCAAAACCCCAAAACCCCGTAGAATGAGTATTTATTATGTTCGTTGTAAGTTAGCCATAGAAATAAATTTTAATTATAAAAATGCATCATTATCAAAAGAAAACTCTTTCAAACTATTCATCTTAGCTCGAGAAATAGAAAAAATCAATCAACTCATCCAAGAATCATAGCACACAGAGTAACTGAGTTCCTGTACATTAGAAAAATAAATAGGAGAATACATAGAATGTAAAAGAGATATATAGTTCACCAGTAGGGATAAAGATATCCTTTCATCAAAACATGTCAAAATCATAAGAGAGGAACTTCAAATTGTATGGAGATCAAGTAAACAAGCAAATAGTAATGACTATTGATAATAAAAATCTGATGTTCGGGCCAAAGACTTCAATTCTTTCTCCCGATAAGTAGACATATGAATCTTGCGGAAGTGTAGGGAAAATGTTGTAGATGGGAACTAAAAATTCCTAAGTTCCCTGCCTGACTAAATAATTTAAAAATGATTTAAAGAAGATTAAAATTTCCAAACAAACAAAGAACAATGAGAAATCGTAAAGTAATAATCTCAATCCAATTTCAAGTAATCATAATGAATAGGATTTCAAAATACTAAATGAGAACTAAAGATTAAAGGAGGAAATATAATTGCTAAAAGATTAATTAGTACTTGCATAAACTGTGGGAGTAAATTTATCTGCAACTACTGCTTCTAATAATAAAAATTATCTTCTAACTCAAACAAACTTTAACTCAGACCATAAGTATCAATCAATGAATAAGTCTCATTGTACAACAAACATTGATTCACACAGAATGATTAACTCGTATCATGCGAGTCCGAGAAATTACAATCACAAAAAAATCATTAACAATACTCAAAATTGTAACATTTAAGATTTCAACTTTGATTTGGATGAAATTGTCAGGAAAAGAAGAGAAATTCTTAAGAAATATCTTGACAGCTAGAACCAGTTCAACCTTGTAAGCAATATGGATAAAAAGCAATCAAAGTCATTAAGATAGACTTTCACTTAAGATCACTCACCAAATAAAAGTCTCATTGAGTATAAAGAACCAATAACAACCTAAGGTGATTTGATGTAGGATAATTTTTAAGAGGACATTCAGACAATAGAGTTTAACATTAAAGACAAGGATTCAAACTAATATATGTAATCGCCTTATTCATTGAGTATGACAACGTGTCAACTTAATATTCAAGAATAACCAGTAACCATTGAGCCTGTTTATACTATAAAAATTAATAAAAAAGTAAGATCAACATCAAGAGTCTTAAAGGTAAATGAAAATATTGGCAATAACTAGAATACAGCAATAAACATTAGCTAAGTTAAGACCTATTCGTAGAATGACACCAATTAACCAGAGAGCATTTAAGAAAAGGCTGTTATTTCTAAAAATCCTGAAAAATAGCAAAATTGTCAGCAGAGTTTTTTACAACATCTAAGCAAAGACATGTTTGACTCTCAATTTCTATCATCATCTAGATTGCTAAGTTTATAAATGAACTCACCTTAGAATTAGATTTTAAGTGAAAAAAAATAATTGAATAATCAGGATTAAAACTAAGATAGATTTGGCATAATGATGAGATTACTGAGCGAGACACCAGTAAAGCAAAAGCATATCAAAATTGAAAGGAGTATGTATATGAGCGGTATTAAATCATAGGATAATTCCCCAGATAAAAAGCCATCGTTAAAGCTGATTGATAAATAGGATTAGCTGGCTTCAAGAAGTTAGAAAAAGCAGAAAGTACAGCAGTCTGCAAGGAGCATTAAAAGTTTGATATAATCAAATACCTAGGAGGATCTGAGAGTAATTCAAGAATAAAGATAATTGAATATAAAGCCTATGTCAAAACCATTCATAGAAAAAGAAGCATTAGAAATAAGTATTTAAGAGGTAGGAGATGAGCCGTCTTTCTAAATAGTACCGGTGAAAATGCTGGTTGATTCCTTTAGCAAAACTTTAAATGAAAGTTAGATTAAATGCAGTGATACTCAGTCAATTGAGAGATCTCATAATTAGAGATTGCCAGCCATAAAATTAAAAATTAAAAGTCAGATACTCCAGAAATACATCAATCCAAATAATTCTAGAACCTCTAAAGTTGTTAATTAAGTATCTTTAAAATCAACAAGCAAAGTATAAGATTCTAAAGACTAAAGATAAAATATGAGTTCCTCGACTTTAACGAATATTACAAGAGATCTAACACCCAGGCAAAGTTTTTTGAGTGTAGGAGGTAATGAGAGGTCATCTAGAAAAGGCAGTATTCAAGTGAATTCATCTAGATCATAACAAAAAACTATTTAAAGCCCAATGAGGTTAAGTAGTAATTAATCATCCTAAAGAGGATTTAAAACTTTAACTACAAACAATGAGAGTAGTTAGTATATGAACTTAGCAAAGGATTGGCAGAAAAATATGAAGAAACTAGATGATAAATTAGATAATTATCGTGAAACGAGTGCTAAGCGAAAGAAATAAAGAGAAAAATCTTCCAAAAAATGAGAATCAAACTACTTGATCTATTTAAAAATGGAATTGTTGTTAATTTAGTAAATATTTTTATTTTTAGATATAAATTTAAGTCTTAAAATCAATCAAATATTAATACCTTGGGGTTTTGGGGTTTTGGGGTTTTGGGG